GACTTTCGAAAGAGATACTGAGGTCTTCTAACTATGCGCCATATGCCAGGAGCTCGAGTAAACACTTAATGAGTGGCCAAGGTGTGGCAGATAAGAACCAGGAGTGAGGTTGAGTTGTTTAGAGCATATGAAATTGTGTTTGACTAAGCCCCGTTCAGCAAAGGTTTGCTTACTCACAGTAAGCATCTCCTACATGCCAGGCTCTGAGTGAGTCATTAGACATGTCTCCAAGAAGATATTTGACACACAAAAATTATAGTATTGTGATTAATTTGTATCAAAGAGGCTGCTATGGTTTGAATGTGGTCTTCAAAAGTCATGTGCTGGAAACTCAATCCTCAATGCAGCAGTGCTGGGAAGTAGGGCCTGATAGGAGGTGTTTAGGTCATGAGGGCTCTGCCACATGAATGGCTTCAGGCTGCCAAAAAAGGGCTTGTGGGAGGCTGGGCACGGTGGCTCACACCTGTAATCCCCAGCACTTTGGGAGGCCAAGGCAGGTGGATCATGAGATCAGGAGTTCAAGATCAGCCTAGCCAAGATGGTGAAACACTGTCTCTACTGAAAATACAAAAAATTAGCCAGGCATGGTGAGGGGAGACTGTAATCCCAGCTACTCCAGCGGCTGAGGCAGGAGAATCGCTTGAACCCAGGAGGCAGAGGTTGCAGCGACCCAAGATCGTAGCACTGCACTCTAGCCTGGGTGACACGGCAAGACTTTGTCTCAAAAAAAAAAGGCTTATGGAGAATGGGTTCTCTCTCTCTGTCTCCCTCTCTTTCTCTCTCTCTCCTCTTCTGACATATGAAGATATGGTGTTCCTCCCTTTCAGAGGACGAAACATTCAAGGTGCCATCTTGGAAGAAGAGAAACTGGGTCGTAACCCGAAGGCATCTTGAGCTTGAACTTCCCAGCCTCCATAACTACGAGAAATAAATTTCTCCTTTTGTAAATAACCCAGTCTGCCGTATTTTGTTACAGCAGCACAAAATGGGCTATGTCAGAGATATACACTGGGACTAGGAGCAAATCAAAGACGGTGGTTAAGAAAGGCTCCCTGAGGATGTGGCGCGCAAGGCGAGACTGGAAGACTAGCAGAAGACAAGCCTGGAAGGGAAATTCCCGCCACAAGGACCAGTGTTTGAAAAAGCCAGGGGGCAAGAGAAAGAGAGAACCGACAGGACTCTGTGGCTGGAACACAGATAACTGGTGTGGAACTTCAAAAGGCAGATGGAGGCCACATTGTAAAAACCTTTGACAGCTGCAGAAGAGATTTCAAGCCTCATTTCGTGTACCAGAGACTTTTAACATGAGCCCCATAGGCCCTTGGGGCTTGAGATATGGTTTGTTCTAAACATAGACGAGCTCAGCTGTGGTGCAGCAGATGTTGGCTCCTCTAACAGTGAAGGAAATGGGCTCCTTCCACCCAGTGGTCTGCTGGAGTGGGCTCAGACAGGCTCGGGAGCGAATTGTGTACATTTCTTCTTATCTGTGTGTTCAGTGACCTCACATTTGCTAGCTTGAAGTCAGCCACGGTGGGGATATTCATACCATGAAGGCTGGCCAGCACAAGGAAGCAGGGCTTCTACCCTTATCCCTGAAAGCTCCAAACAATCATGAAACGTTAATCAGCACTGCTCCTTCTACCTCATATTCCAACCCAAAGAGGAGGCTGGCTCTCCAACACCCACAGTTCCACTCATGAGAGTTGAGAGGTCAGTGCCTTGATCTTTGCAAACCAGGAAGTGATTAAGACTGGGGAAGTGTGTTCTTGTTTGCCCTTAAGCAGACAAGAGACTGGGCAGCAGCAGTTTTAAAACCACAAGCTTTAAGGACAGACAGACTGAGCTCCGAATTGCAGCCCTGTCACTATAATTAGCTGTGCGACCTAACAAGGAATGTAACCTCTCTGAGTTTCATCTGCTAAAAGGGGATATTAGTAATATCCACCTCATAGGGCTGTTGCAAAGATTAAATGCTATATGTAGACTGCAGTGCCACTATATAACAAAGACTCAATAAAGACTCGTACAACTAGCTGTTTAGGATAAAGAGATCTCAATCGAGATATATTCATTTTATTCCAGAATGGATTTATTGTCAGTATTTGAGGTGCCTAAAAGAAACTGAAACAGTATACTGAGGATCTAAGTAGAGGTGAGGTCATGGTAACTGGCTGAGATTTTCTGACCGGCATCTATAGATGACTTTTTTTAAGGTTTTAAGAGATACAACTTGGCCAAGCTCATGATCACAACATGTCCCTTGAAGTACCAAGGCATCTGGATACACAGTTTCCTAACTTGAAATGATTGGGGCAGGGAGAGAGGAACGAGAGAAGAAACGTGACAAACCATTGTCAAAAAAAGAGCAGGTGTCAGTTTCAGACGGAGAGCACAGGAGCCAAAGGGTGGAGCACGTGGCAAAGGAAGACGTTTCTGTGCCCGATGTTGAACCACTCCAAGCGCAGTGGGATTCTAGGTCTGAAAGGGTTTCAGTTGCCGGGTGAAAATGAAAGTCAACATTTCAGGGCTGGGTGCAGTGGCTCACACCTGTAATCCCAGCACTTTGGAAGGCTGAGGCAGGTGGATCACCTGAGGTCAGGAGTTCAAGAATAGCCTGGCCAACATGGTGAAACTCGGCTTTACTAAAAATACAAAAATTAGCTGGGTGTGGTGGTGCATGTCTGTAGCCCCAGCTACTTGGGAGGCTGAGGCATGAGAATCGCTTGAACCAGTAGGTGGAGTTAGCAGTGAGCCATGACTGTGCTACTGCACTCCAGCCTGGGTGACAGAGTGAGACTCTGTCTCAAAAAAAAAAAAGAATGAATGAATGAATGAGAAAGGAATGAAAGAAGGAAGGAGGAAAGAAAAAGAAAGAGTCAACATTTCAGAGATCGCAAGATACCAACACTGATAGTGCCTTCCATCCTCCTCCACCCTGCACCTCTGAGGTCTGATTGCATCCTCTGTGAGTAGGGCTTTGTTAAGAGGTACTGATTAAGGCTGAGCGTGGTGGTTCATGCCTGTAATCCCAGCACTTTGGGAGGCTGAGGTGGGTAGATCACCTGATTGAGGGAATGTGTTCTCTTTCTGGGTCCACAAGGGGCATAGTTTCAAGGGCAAGAACTTTCTAGTGCCATGCCCCCCTTCCATCTTTCTCTATCCAAGAGATTTAACGGTTTATATTTAAATTTGACGGGCCTGGAAAGAAACAAAAAGTTAATCGCTCCAGCGGAAGTTTTAAGGAACTCCTTTCATTGGCCAGGGGTCTTAGAAAAGGTGGGGGTTCCTCCCAGGTTAAAAGTCCCCTTCTTCCACACCCCTTCAGACTCCATGTTTGGGTCTCCTTCCACGAACACTCCCTTTGTGGAAGCCGTTTTTCTCTCTCCTGGATTCTCCCTCTGGTGTCGCCTTCCACACTCTCTCATGGAAGCCTGTCTTCCTCTCCTAAACTCCGTCTCTCTAGTCCCTAACACTCTCATGGAAGCTGCTTTCCTCTCCCGGATTCCATCTTTCTGGATTCTCTCACTCAGCGTGATAGTCAGCTGTTTCTTTCTCTCTCCTCCTGTTTCTCTCTCTCTTTAAATAACTCACTTTCTACAAACACTTTTGAGTCTGGCATTTACTGCGCCGTGGTCCCCTCTCTCATTCTTGAGACGGCAGGAGGCCAAGAACCTGAAGAAACATCCTCTCAGGGGAGCTGAGGACACCCTGTACCCCTAAACCCCAATATTACAAGATCAGAGGCTCAAGACCAGCCTGGCTAACATGGTGAAACCCCAGCTCTACAAAAATATAAAAATTAGCCAGGCATGATGGTGGGTGCCTGTAATCCCAGCTACTTAGGAGGTTGGGAAGGAAAATAGCTTGAACCCGGGAGGTGGGGTTGCAGTGAGCCAAGATTGCGCCATTGCACTCCAGCCTGGGTGACAGAGCTTCCATCTCAAAAAATAAAAATAAAAAAATTGATGCTAGTCCCAGAAGCATCTTGAAATTTCCAAAAGAAATTCCCCCGGTGGCAAAACTCAGAGCAACTTTTGTATCCACGAACTCTGTGAAAATCACTTTCTCTCCTAAAAACTGGTGGGATCAAAGCTGATCCCAGTTTTAAATAATTATCAAAAAACTGGAAACTAAATTTGATCAGAAAAAAGAAACTTGAAAAAGAAAATCCTCATCACCCAAAGACAACCGTTAATATTTTGGTAGTTATTACTCCAAATCCGTGTCTATGGCCCCCCCTCCCTCTCTCTCTCTCTTAATGGGCCCAGGTTTTAGCACTCGCTTTTCTGGTTCTCAGTGTGTTGCAAACACCTCGATGTGGATACACCGTTCGGCAACAGCCTCTTAAAGGGCCGCAGAATATTGTGCGTCCTGGCGTGCGCCTCGTTTGGAAGCTACTACGGTCCCGACAAACACCACAGTCTTCGGCGTCGGAAAGACAGCTTTCCCGGGAGCCAACACCTTAGGCTCCGGGGCGTGCCGCTCCCCAGGAGAGAAGTCCGTGGGGAAGCGCAGCACCAATCTGCGGGGATTCCCTGGGGCATTAGAGGAGATCGCGTGTGTAAGGCGCTCGGCTCAGCACCCGGCGCAGAAACGCGCTCAGATGCCTACGGCACCTGACACTGAGTGGCCAAACCGGCCTTGAACTCTCCCTACTCCTGCCAAATGGCCCATCCTGGAGCACTGGATTGACCGTGGGTTATTGATCATCAGCCCGTTTCCTCCCTCCCCTCCCCCGCCCTTCCCCCATGCACAGATTTACAGATTTTTTTTTTCCAGGAATTGAGTAAAACAAAACTAAGTGCAGACGAAGCGGAGGTACCGACGGGTTTCGAACGCGGGGGCCGGCGCGCTCCCTCCCCGCGGCTGGGCTGTCCTCGGGGATTCCCCCTAGTGAATCCCGGGCGGCTGGGACAGGCCCGCGGCTCTACCAGTCACAGGCTGCCGGCCGCGTCACCTGTCCGCGGTGGGCTAGGAGGCGGGAGGCGGGAGGCGGGAGGCGGGAGGCGGGAGGCGGGACCTGGGCCCGGGCGGGGACGCCGCGGCGGGGAGGCCATGGCGGGGCCCGGGCGCTGGGGTCCCCTGCTCCTGTGCCTGCTGCAGGCCGCTCCAGGTAAGGGCGCGGGGCCGCAGGAGGGCGGGGGAAGGGGTCCCCCGGGCCGGGCCGGGCCGCACCGCGCCCACCCTCGGACCCGGAGCTCCCGAGACAGGGACGGGGTCCGCAGCCGCCGGAGCCGGGTGCGAATCGGCCCTGCCCACGAGCTGCCAGTTTGCTTCTTCCCGGTACTGAACGGAGCCGGGTCGTTGAAACTCCTTTCCCGCAGGAAACTAATCCAGTTTCCTAATTCTTCCAGCTTCAGGAGAACTGGAAAAAAAGACAGCGGTAGTTTTAAAAACAACTGCATTTTTTTTTTTTAAACGAAGTGCTTTTTAAGGTTTCCTAAAGAAAGCACTGATCCCTGTGTTAAAACCACACTCGACCCTAAAGTGTGGGCAGTTGGGAAAGTGGGACGGATGGAGGTCCCCTCCGATTCCCACCAGGCCTTCGGGTGGACGGAGAGCTCTGGTTTCTCCTGTGCCCTGCTTTCTAACAAGACACTTTCTCTTTTTCTTTCTTTCTTTTTTTCTTTTTTTCCCTCTACTGGTAAAGTAGGTGTCGGGTACAAAATACCTCGCCCTAGTACCCAGCCACCAAACCTCACCTTCCACCACGCCAACCAAAGCAGGGAGGAGGAGGAGGAGGTCCAGAAATTGCCCCCAGGATATTTTCCTAGCCTTGGACTCGCAGTTTAAAGATCTGGTAACATCCCTGGATGTAATCGAATTATCATAAAAGCCAGTATTCATTGTGCCAGGCACCACATTATTCTAGAAGCTCACAACCCAGCTGTCCTAGGAGGTAGATATTATTCTCACTTTTTCGATGGGAAAACTGAAGCTCGGAGCAATCCAGGGAATTGCCCAAGGAGGACGGCAGAGGTGAGGCACACAGAAGAGAGAAGACCTGCTGAAGCGAGCCTGGCTAGCTTTAGTCTCCAGGATGGGCACCAGGGACAGGCTGTCCTTCCACCAGGTCACTAGGCCAGCCAGGGATGCACCAGCCCCCCAGTGCCCACAGCAGCGTTCTCTGGGGCTGATGACGGACAGCGTATCTGTGTGTGGAGGGAGGGTGGGCCTTCTGTCCCCATTTCACTGTCAAACCCAGTAGTTTCCTGCCTAGATCTGGTTGTACTTTCACCTGATAAATACTTAATAGACACAACACTAACTATGGTGAGATGATTAGGGGAAGTACAGCCAGATCTGGGTTCCAATACTGGCTCCCACACAAACTGGCCCTGTAGCCTCGGGCAAGTTAATTAGCATCTGTCTTTGAGCCTAGCGCCCCTTCCACGGAAGGGGAATGAATGACACTACTCATAGGGTGGTCTGTCCCGAGGATGATTGAGGTTTTGCATGTAAAGAGCCAAACCGGTGCCTGGCATCCTTTCAAGCCTTCATAGAGGAAAGCTGCTGTAGCTACTGTTTTTCTGGTGTGACCTAGCTCAAATCTGAGGACTCTCCTGTTCATAGGATACCTTACAAGTGGCTTGCAGGTAGCCTGGCCTGCTGGGCACCCATCAGGAAGTCCACAAGCTGGGAGTAGTAACAGCACTAGCATCGTGGTGATACAGTCCCAGCTAGAGGACACAGGATAAGGTGGAAGCAGGCACCCACTTTTGGGTCTAAAAGGTCAGGGGTACGCAGCCCAGGCTGGGGAGAGCAGGTAGTAGAACTGGGCCCTCCCTGACGCTCTTTCTGCAACCTTTATGGATTTCCATCATGGCCCATGGGACACTTCAGGGCCCTGAATTCTCCATAAGACCATGAGCTCCTATAGGGCAGGAATGAAGCTGTGTTCTTCCTTGAAGTCCCTGGCACACCGTGGTCAACAGATCTTGTTTGACTAGTAGTGGTCAATAGATGGATTAGTTGGAATCATAAAGCTGAACCCATGAGAACCTAGAGGACAAAGTAATGTCAAGAGCTCGGTCTCTGGAGTTGGCTGGGCCTGGATTGAATCTGATTCTACAATTTAAGAGCTGAGAGGGCCTTGGTTTTCCCATCTGTAGTGATTATACTTATTATAACGAACACCTGCCTCCTAGGGATGTGGTGAGGATTGAAGGAGAAGGTGCAGGTAAGTGTTTAGCACAGACCCTGGCTCTTAGAACACAGTGCACATCAGCTGCTATTATTTGCTTGTTTATTTGTTTGTTTTGAGACAGAGTCTCACTTTGTCACCCAGGCTGGAGTGCAGTGGCGTGATACTGGCTCACTGCAACCTCCGCCTCCCGGGTTCAAGCTATTCTCATGTCTCAGCCTCTGAAGTAGCTGAGATTACAAGCGTGTACTACCGCGCCCAACTAATTTTTGTGTTTTTAGAAGAAACGGGGTTTCACCATGTTGGCCAGGCTGGTTTCGAACTCCTGACCTCAGGTGATCTGCCTGTCTCTGCCTCTCAATGTGCTGGGATTACAGGTGTGAGCTACCATGCCCAGCCTTAGCTGCTATTATTATCATCCTCATTGTAGTCATCATCATCACCACCTCACAGATGTCAAGGAAGATTCCCTGGAGGAAGTGACATTTGAATCAAGTCTTTCTTTTTTTTTGAGACGGAGTTTCGCTCTTATTGCCCAGTCTGTAGTGCAATGGCACGATCTCAGCTCGCCACCTCCTGGGTTCAAGCTATTCTCCTGCCTCAGCCTCCTGAGTAGCTGGGATTACAGGCATGCACTACCACACCCAGCTAATTTTGTATTTTTAGTAGAGATGGAGCTTCTCCATGTTGGTCACCCTGGTCTCAAATTCCCAACGCTGGTGATCTGCCCACCTCAGCCTCCCAGAGTGCTGGGATTACAGGCTGAGCCACTGCGCTCAGCCTGAATCAAGTCTTTCAAAGATTAGATGGTGAACACCAGGAAGTCAAAGACACGTGGGTTTGAAAACATCCAGAAGGATGCAGTGGCTTGGCAACTTCCAGAAGGAAGATAGCCTGGCGAGCCTGTAGCGTAGCTGTCAGGGAGAGAGCAGCGAAACGGCCTGGCCAGTCCAGGCCACGTCAGGCAGGGCCTCTCACACCTCAATAAGGAGTGTGGACTTTATTCTGAGGCCAAGGAAAGGGTATGACACTGGGGAGTGGTGTAATCAGATGCATATTTCAGAAGACGAGGATTGACAGCGAGAAGGAAAATGTGCCACGGAGGGGAGTAGAGGTCAGTTAAAGGGGTCGGGGAAAGTATCCTCGAGACAGTGACACCAAAGGAGTATGAAAACAGCAAAGGAGTGAGCCAGGTGGATATCCAGAGGCAGAACTATTAAGATAGAGGGAACAGCATGTGGGAACAGTGTCTGTAAAGGCCTGGAGTCGGGAGTGTGGCTGGGGTGCTCCAGGAAGGGGAAAAAGGCCTGTGTGGACAGAGAAATGGGAGCAAGGGAGGAGTGGTGGGTCGGATTGGGTAGGACCTTGGTGGTAATGGTAAAGACTTTGGAGTTTAAACCGGGCATAGTGGCTCAGGCCTGTAATCCCAGCACTTTGGGAGGCCAAGGTGGGTGGATCACCTGAGGTCAGAAGTTCAAGACCAGCCTGGCCAACATGGTGAAACCCTGTCTCTACTAAAGATTAAAAAAATTAGCCAGGTGTGGTGGCACATGCCTATAATCCCAGCTACTCTGGAGGCCGCGGCAGGAGAACCAATCACTTGAACCCGGGAGGTGGATGTTGCAGTGAGCCAAGATCGCACCACTGCACTCCAGCCTGGGCTGCAGAGTGAGACTCTGTCTCAAAATAAAATACAGTGAAAATAATAAAGACTTTGGAGTTTACCTGGAGCGAGATGGAAGCCTTTAGAAGGTGCAAGCAGAAGAGGAACATGATCTGATTTTCATTTTAACCCTTCCTGCTATGTGGAGAATGGACTGAAGGCAAGGTGTTTTGTAAATTTGTTTTTTTGAGCTCTGTTGGCCACGCTGAAGTGCAGTGGTGCAATCACGGCAACCTTGAACTCCTGGGCTCAGACGATACTCCCACCTCAGCCTCCTGAGTCTCACCATTATGCCCTGCTAATTTTTTAAAAAATGTATTTTGTAGAGATGGGGTCTCCCAATGTTGCCCAGGCAAGTCTTAAATTCCTGGTCTCAGGTCATTCTCCCACCTCAATCTCCCAGTGTGCTGGGATTACAGGTGTGAGCCACCATGCCCAACCTGTTTGTTTTTTTAAAAAGGAGAAAAAAACCTTTTAATAGTATGAGATGTTTTCTGGTGTTTCTACCTTAAAGCTCTTCTGTAAATTGAAATGAGAACATAATTATCGATAGGGTGGTGACCTTGGACTACAGTGCAGACTTTCATCTTACATTTGGGCTCATGAACTTTAGTGTAACTGACTATGACAGTGCTTTTTACACAGTTACGATCTAGAGCAGAACTGAAAACAAAATCACATGTACTCCACGTCAGTACACTCTTTCACCAATATATGGGCTTGGATGAACCTTCAGAAGTCGGTAAATCTGTCAGATATTTTCCTAAACCAACAGAAAAAAAAATGTATATGGCAGATATTGTATGTGTGTATGTATATTTATGTATTTATTTTTGAGACGGAGTCTCGCTCTGTCACCCGGGCTGGAGTGCAGTGAGACGATCTCTGCTCACTATAACCACCATCTCCCGGGTTTAAGTGGTTCTCCTGCCTCAGTCGCCTGAGTAGCTGGGATTACAGGCACGTGCCACCATGCCCGACTAAATTTGCATTTTTAATAGAGACAGGATTTCACCATGTTGTTCAGGCTGGTCTCGAACTCCTGACCTCATGATCCGCCTGCCTCAGCCTCCCAAAGGGCTGGGATTACAGACATGAGTCACCGTACCTGGCCTGTATTTATTTTTTTACCACCATGGAGTCCAATGTGGAATTCTCATAACTATGCAAATACATTATTAACATGTAAGCACACTTAGGTGTAAATATGCACATAGTCCATTAATTAAATCGAGGGAATTAAAAACAAACTTTAAGTTAAAATGAATTTTCAGGGAAAAAAGCCATTCACAAATCTGAAAGTTGAATACAAAGCTGAAATTGTGAAATAAATAGTGAATATAGGTGTCACCTAAACTTCCATAGTAGCATGCCTGCAAATGTGGATGCAGTGATCATCCACCTGGAGACAAGGGCTTTTGAGAGCCCCCAGGTAAATTAGGGTTCCAGTAGCAGAGCAGATGGCAAGCCTGCCCTAATGTATAATGCCGGGGAGCTGGGCAGGGCATTTACAGTGTGCCCTTCAGGAAATACTTTGATTTTTGTTTTTTGTTTTTGAGATGGAGTCTTGCTCTGTCGCCCAGGCTGGAGTACAGTAGCACGATTTCAGCTCACTGCAACCTCTGCCTCTTGGGTTCAAGCAATTCTCATGCCTCAGCTTCCTGAGCAGCTGATTACAGGCCTGTGCCACCACGTTTGGGTAATTTTTGCATTTTGGTAAATTTTGCAACCCAGGTTGGTCTCGAACTCCTGACCTCAGGTGATCCGCCCGCCTCGGCCTCTCAAAGTGCTGGGATTACAGGTGTGAGCCATCTCGCCCAGCCCATGAAATACTTCTTACCTGGTGGACAGCCTAATGCCTAACTGTCTAACCCATGGCTGGGGGTCCTTCACACTTGTTTATACTGGCAAACGTCCCTGTGGCTCTTGTCTGATCCATGTCCAAGTTTGTGCCTGTCTGACCATTGGTCTGGGCTAGGAGCCAGCCTGTGTTACCGGCAACACAGGGAAAATCAGGCCCAGGCTGGGCCCAGGTTCTTGAGATGGAAGGTGCAAATTCAGTACACCACCTCAATGGGAAACAAGTTCAAAGGCTTATTACTTAGAGATCCTGAGCAGGGAGGGTGCAATGAGTGGGGAGGGCCATCCTCCATCCTGGGCTACATGAAGCAGGAATGAAGAGTCAGGCAAAAAGAAAGAGCTTGTGGCAGCAAGAAGTGTATTATATAAGGGACAAGGCTGTGGGTCAGGTTAAGTTCAAGGGCAGATGCCTGAATGGCCCCTTTAAAGGAATGGGTGGAAAATAGGGAGCCCAGTTCGCCAGGAGGGAGAGACGCCTCTAAGTTCTTATCTCTGGACACTGGCTTGGGCCATCTGAGCGTGGCATCTGCTTCTAATGCCTAGGCAGCAACCTTTGCTGCATTGGAAAGGTTGGAAGTAGGGAGACCGGTTAGGAAGATTTTCGTGTAACCCATGTTATTGTAATATTCATTCATTCACTCAACAGATGTTTATTGTGCACCTACTACGTGCTGCAGCCATGGCAGGCAGGCGCTGGGGACGTGGCTGAGAACAGGACAGAGCTACTGGTCCTTGATACCCACAGGGTCACTCCCTCCTGGAGACCATTAGCTTCCTCTTCCATGGTCTGCTGGAACCCTCAGGTCCCAGCGTGTCCAGGAGCCCCTCCCCTCCTGGCACAGGGGCTTCTCTCATGGTACAAGGGCAGTGGTACAACCAGTCAATGGCTCCTGGTTCCACAAACTCAGTGAGCACCTGCCTGCCCTTCGTGCTGCCCCTCAGCTTGGTGTGGCCCAAGTCAAGACCAGCCAGGAGCACCAGGCTTCATGACCCCTCTCTTTCCCCCAGGGAGACCCCGCCTGGCCCCTCCCCAGAATGTGACTCTGCTCTCCCAGAACTTCAGCGTGTACCTGACGTGGCTCCCAGGGCTTGGCAACCCCCAGAATGTGACCTATGTTGTGGCCTATCAGAGGTAGAGGGGACTCTCCTGGCTGGTGGGTCGGGAGACTGAAGGGGCGGGTGGGGGCCGGAGGGGCTTCTCTGGGACAGCTGCACCCAGTATGGGCAGCATTGGCTGGCGCGCTGGGCCCCACGGGAGATAGCATGTGGCAGGCATTTGGAGAGGGGCTTTTGATAAAGGTCTGGAGGTGGGGAAGATGCTGAATGAAGAGCAGCATACAGGTGACCAGCCTGCCAGGGGCGGGGGTGGGTCTTTTAGGATGGTGTAGAGCACAGATGGAGCCATGAGGCAAGAGGATGAAATTCTCAAGTGGCTGGATGAAGTGCTTGGAGCTGTCCCAGCTGATCGGTGAGGCAACTAGATACACAGCAGAGGAGCTGTTACCTGGGCAATTAGGCATCCCTGAATGATCACACTTTTTTTTTTTTTTTTTTGAGACAGAGTCTTGCTCTGTTGCCCAGGCTGGAGTGCAGTGGTGCAATCTCAGCTCATGCAACCTCTGCCTCCTGGGTGGAAGTGATTCTTCTGCGTGCTAGGGATTCTCCTGCCTCAGCCTCCTGAGTAGCTGGGATTATAGGCATGTGCCACCACGCCTGCCTAATTTTTGTATTTTTAGTAGAGATGGGGTTTTGCCATGTTGGCCAGGCTGGTCTCGAACTCCTGACCTCAGGTGATCCACCCGCCTCGGCTTCCCAGAGTGCTGGGATTACAGGCGTGAGCCACTGCAACTGGCTGAATGATCATACTTCCCCATGGGATCCTTCTCAATTTGGAAGCCTCGGCAGCCACTGCGAATCCAGAAACTCTGACAGTGGAAGCAGATCCACCATGAACATAGATGGGAGTCGTTTGAAATTCTTTAGCAGGACAGTGAGATGCTAGAAGCAGAAACGCAGGAGGATTCACCTGGAATTGGTACGGACAAAAGAGCAGGAAGGAGAGGGAACCACCGTGTCCTCAGGACCCATCCTGTGCCAGGCCAAGGGCTAAGGGCCCTACGTGAATATTTGACTTTTTTTGCCAAAGTCACCAGGCAGGCTCTGTGTTTTCTCCATTGCAGAGGTGAGGGGACGGAGCTCAGGGGGATGCTGTGTCTTGCCTGAGGAAGGACGTCATGGAGCCGGAAGGGGAACTCCAGTCTGACTCCAAAACTTGTGCCCTTCCTGTTCCATCATGTCTTCCCTCCATCTGTGGGATCCACATGTGAGTGATGGGGGCCTGGCTTGGGCAGGGACAGACTGCAAGAGAGCTTTCAAAAGCAAGAGCTCTATCAGGCGGCAGAAAACACCTACTATTTACAGTGTGACTGGCACTGTGTCAACACATGAAATGAATCTGATCTCACACCAGCTCTGTGAGGACAAGTTCAGTACGCCTCTTTACAGAGGAGGAGACTAAAGTGCCAAGGGTGTATTTTGCTCAAAGTCACACAGCTGGGTGTAGTGTGGCTGGAATAAATTTATTAAGGAGTTGAAAGTCTGTCCTCTGGGATCAAGCATGGTGGCTTATGCCTGTAATCCCAGCACTTTAGAAGGCCAAGGTGGGCAGATTGCTTGAGTCCAAGAGTTTGAGACCATCCTGGGCAACACAGTGAAACCTGGTCTCTACAAAACACACACACACACACACACACACACACACACACACAATTAGTGAGGCATAGTGGTGTATGCCTGTGTTCCCAGCTACGTGGGAGGCTGAGGTGGGGAGATCGCTCGAGCCTGGGAGGAAGAGGCTGCAGTGAGCTGAGATCACACCACTGCACGCCAATCTGAGTAACAAAGCAAGATCCTCGAAAGAAAGAAAATCTGTCTTCTAAACTTCTGTGATATATTTCATCTCTTTTATATTTTAAATACCTGTGGGGGTTGTAAAATGATGATATTCTAATTATATAGTTTTTTCATTTGTTAGTTGGAATTATTTTATAGAGATGTGTCCTCTCATTTGGTATTTGATATCCAGTCACCCTATTCAAATAGGCAGGAGAGGATAAATGCTTGATTTTTCCTTTATCGATTTTCAAAATAATGAATTGGTTCCCTATCATCTCCCGAAGGTGATCGCTAGTTTATTATTATCATATGAACTCAAGCATTTAAATGTATTTGATGGTGTCAGTCTATTGCAATGCACTCTACTCATTGAAGCTTGAATTGCCCCATCTTTGTCCAGCGGGAGTGTCATCGAGCTTGCTCCTGAGTCCTTTTAACCTGACTCTAGTGGTCTTTGATACCTTGCTAGCTGTCTGTTACAACAAGATGTTCCAGGCCCCTCTGGTACAATTCCTGACCTAAAACCTGCAGTCAGCCATTTCTCCATTTAGTAAGAAACGGTTGTAAAACCCTAATCTGCATGCTAGCTATGATGCTCCCCACTTAGCCATTGCTTTTGGTCTTTTCAGTGAACAGACTGATGTGTGCATACCACATAGACACACACATGCACCGAAGTTGTTTTTTGTTTTTTTTTTTTGAGACAGAGTCTTACCCTGTCACACAGGCTAGAGTGCAGTGGCGTGATCTCGGCTCACTGCAACCTCTGCCTCCTGGGTTCAAGAGATTCTCCTGCCTCAGCCTCCCAAGTAGCTGGGATTACAGACACCTGCCACCACACCCAGCTAATTTTTTGTATTTTCAGTAGAGATGGGGTTTCACCACGTTGGCCAGGCTGGTCTCCAACTCCTGACCTCAAGTGATCTGCCCCCCGTCAGCATCCCAAAGTGCTGGGATTACAGGCATGAGCCATTGCACCCTGCCTACATGTACATAATTTTTAAGATAAAATGCCTAATGAGTTTATACTGGTGCTTCCAATCTCAATTCAGTTTCTTAGGATTTTTACTTGACTTCTTCTATATTACATCTGTATTTTCTTTCCTTCACATTGAGGATCCTGGCTCCCAAGGACAGGGGAGATGATAGAAATAGAATGACCCATTTTTAGTCATTTTCTTTATCCTAAAACATACATTCTTGCGTCTTCATAGTTTCTTGCTCTTTTTGCCCAAAGGGTTCGTGATGGTTAATAATACTAGGTGTCAACTTAATTGGATTGAAGGATGCCTAGACAGCTGTTAAAGTTTCATTTCTGCGTGTGTCTGTGAGGGTGTTGACAGAGGAGACCGATATTTAAGTCAGGGGACTGGGAGAGGAAGACCCACCCTCACTCACTGTGGGTGGGCACAACCCAGTTGGCTGTCAGGGTGTCTGGAAAGCTGGTGGGATAGCCTTGCTTGCTGGGTCTTCTAGCTTCCTTCTTTCTCCCGTGCCGGATGCTTCCTTCTGCTCCTCCTGCCCTTGAACAGCACACTCCGGGTTCTTCAGCCTTTGGACTCAAATCGGTAGTTTGCTGGGGCTCTCTGAAGGCTGCACTCTTGGCTTCCCTGGTTTTGAGGGTTTCAGATTCAGACTGAGCCACAGCTGGCTTCTTTCTTTCCACCTTGCTGACAGCCTATCACACTTCGCCTTGTAATCGTGTAAGCCAATTCTCCTTAATAAACTCCCTTTCATATATACGTAGATCCTATTGGAATCCTAAGAAAGAGTTGTTGCTCTTTCTTTAAAATCCAGTAATTTTATTTGACTGTGTGTTGGTAACGCTCATTCGTTCTGAGTTGATATTTTGAGGTATTCAATATTCCCATTTAATACATAGTTCCAAGTCATTTTTATTTCAAGAAAGTTTTCTTAAATTACAGTTTTAGAATTTGTTCTACTTTCCTGCTTTGGTTTAGGGACTCTTATCATTTGTATGTTGAATTTCCTTTTTCTGTTTTCCATATTTGTCTTTCCATTGAGCACAGTGACTCACACCTGTAATTCCAAGACTTTGTGAGGCATAGGTGGGAGGATCGCTTGAGCCCAGGAGTTTGAGACCAGCCTGGGCAACATAGTGAGACCCTGTCTCAAATTAAAGAAAAAGGAGAGAATATTTGTCTTTTGCTTTCAAATGCCTTTTCTCTGTCTATATAGCTACTATTCTGTTCTCTAAATGAATTAGATTTCACTCTTGATTTTATTTTTTATTTTTTGAGATGGAGTCATGCTCCCATCATGCATGCTGGAGTGTAGTGGCATGATCTTGGCTCACTGCAACCTCCACCTCCTGGTTTCAAGCAATTCTCCTTCCTCAGCCTCCCAAGTAGTTGGGATTATAGGCACATGCCACCACGCCCAGCTAATTTTTGTACTTTTAGTAGAGACGGGGTTTCACCACGTTGGCCAGGCTGGTCGAGAACTCCTGACCTCAGGTGATCCACCCGCCTCGGCCTCCCAAAGTGCTGGGATTACAGGCGTGAGCCACTGCCCCTGGCCTCACTCTTGATTTTTTAAAAAACTGTGTGCTTTCATGTTTGAGATTATTCAACATCTCATTTATAATCTTTCTCTTGGTTACATTTATTTTTCCTAAAACTCTAGTCTGCTTTTAGCTGACACGTTCACAACTAGGAATGCACATTTCTTATTATAGCCTACCTTGTGGAATTCATTCCAATTTTCTTTTAAAATCATTATTGAGTGAAAATATATATAGAATAAAATGTTCCCATTTTAAAGTATACAATTTGGTGAGTTTTGGCAAAAGTATGTACCCATGTAACCACCACCACAATCAAGATGTAAGACATCTCTATCACCCCAGAAAGTTTCCTCATCCACTTTGCATTCGGGCCTCCTAGCTCGAGGCAACTACAGATCTGCTTTCTGACACTGTGGATTCAGCTTTGCACGTTCCAGAATTTCATATAAATGGATGTGTGTAGTATGTGCCCTTCTGTGTCTGGCTCTTTTCACTCAGCATAATGTTTCTGAAATTCACGCACATTGTTATGTGTATTCGTAATTAATTCCTTTTTATTGCTGGGTAGTAATGCCATTTTATGACTATGTGTGACATTTGTTCATCCATTTCCCCATCAGTGGATATGTGGATTGTTTCCAGTCCCGGGCAGATATTCATTTGCTAGGGCTGCCATATGCTTGCCCTCCAGACTTCCCAAATTTGTATCC